GGCGACAGTGGCGAGTCGGAGCCAAAGAGGTCCGAGTCGCCGACAAAGGACATGAAGGCAGCTGTCTCGGCCGAGAGCGACCCCAGCAGAGACGAGAAGGTCGAGTCGACCTCAGCAGTCGGCGGCATGGTGACGGGCGAATGGGAGGGGGAAGGCTGAGGATCGTTTGTTCAAAGGAGCGCAGGGCAGCCAAGTGTTGCACAGCAACGTCAACGTATTCCTTTTCTCTCTCTCCTTCTTCTCTTAATCTATCAGCAGCAGCAACAGCAGCACCGTTCTAGCCGTGTGCGCGGGGTGGAGTGGGAGCGATGCAGTCGGTGTCGACCACCACGGCGACGGAGGGAATGCAGACGATGATTGGATGAGGGCGAGGGGGTGTTGGGTTGGACCGGGCTGGTGGGGACCAGACAGGGAGACAGGCTAGGTAGGTGGTAGGTGTGTGCGTGCGTGCGTGTGGTGTTGTAGGCGTCAGTCAGACTTCTCCGGAAGGGTCCGCTACGCCCAAATAGGGCCAGACGGGAAGCTTCTGGTCCGGCCGCTGCCGACTCGACAGACAACTGCCCAGTCGGAAAGTCAAGTCAAAATCAACGTTCCACGAATGTGTCACAAAATTCAATAAAATATAATTTATATATATACTAAATGATAACGACAGCATGGGGAAATGGCTCAGTGGTAGAGCGTCTGCTTCGCATGCTGAAGGCCCCGGGTTCGATCCCCGGTTTCTCCATTATTGTCGGCTTTTCTTGTGCATTGTTTTATTTTGTGCTGCAGTTTCTGATATCAATCCAAATAGTGGATGCTTTTAGCGCGCATGGAATATGAAGCCTGCCTCAACGCGATTCTTTTTCAACTGATCATAAACTTTAGTTAAGTGAGTTGCTCAGTATTCCGTGAACGTCGTGGCCAAGCTCAGAATACTTTCATGCGCTGAGTACTCAGTGTCTAAGTCCTGCGATTCAGCCTCGGTCGCAGTGGAGTGAGGCCAAAACACATTTGATGTTTCACTTTCAACTTGCTGAAGCTGGGTAGTTTTTCTATACCCAATCGACACTTTGCGTACGATCCCTGAAGCTTCCGTCACGTGTACTTGTGTGTGACCTGCCGCCAGCTGCCGTCACCGCCACTGCATCGCCGTTGCTATGCTCCGTCGCGAGGTGCGCTATCCGCTGGCCGATCGGCCCTTCCCTCCCATCGCCCTACCCCTGCCCACCTCCCCCTATATTTCCCCCTGACCTGCTCCTTTGAAGTGCTCGAGTTGTATGAACGCTCTACTCCGCCTTAGTTCCCACGCTCATCTTGCTCCCGCCCAAGACCTTCCCTCGGTACCTTCCGTGCCTTGTTCTAACGCTCCCCACGCCGACAGTCGACACTCGTCCAGTCGCTGCAGTCCCTCACTGTCGGCGCTCCCGCCGCGATCGTGTCCTCCCTGCTCTCTTCTGCGTCTCCCCACTC